AACTAGTTTGGAAAGATCCTTTCATGGCTCTTCACAACCACTTTTTTATTTAGCTTACTGAACAATTTGGTTTCATCAGCAACTTGACCACCTCCCTGCTCACCCTTAATTCTGTTGTTGTTGTTGTGAACCGCTGTGTGGTCTTTAGATGAAGGGTGGTACTGTATATAAATTTAATAAATAACAACAACAACTCTAGATAATTTATGATCTAGATAAAAAGCACAGGTCCCAACATCAATCCCCAGGGAGCTCCACTTTGACATCCCTCCATTGGGAGACTCTCTGCTTCCTATTCCTTACCTAGTTACCTCCATGACTACTAGTCTGACACTCCAGCCACTATGCCACGCTGGCTCTCTACAGTACGAAGGCTAACGGTTTCTGCAAGTTAAGTAATTGTTGTATGCAAAAAGGAGAGGAAAGTAGTCCTAAACATTCAGATGTTTTCTGTGGCCGTCTTCTGGAAAGGCATCTGGTAGCACCAGAAAACAGAGGAGTGGAAGGGGACCTCATTTTTAACAGTGAGGTTTATGGGACCCTGCGGGATCTTTTTGGTCATTGTGAGGCCTTGCAATATTGGGTAGGAATGTATGAAGAAAATAGCACCTCTGGCATGCAACAACATTTCCTTCCTCCATTCCACGTAAAATTTTCTTTGCATTGCTGTGCATCCATAGCACACGCAACCTGCCACAGTCCCACCAACAAGTTTCTAGCATTCTACACGCAGAGACAGCAAGAGAAAATTAGTTGTCTCCCATAATTCAGGGAACCGTTTGTTTATTATTTGCCCTTGTATTTTTAGCCCGCCCTTCACCAAATGGCCGTAGGGCAAGTTGCAAAAATGTAACAAGTAAAAACAAATAAATTTTACATTGAAACGATAAAATAAAACCACAAAGCAACTTAATGACAGAATAACAGAAAAGCAATGCAGTGCTGTGCAGAAGAAAGGGAGGCATCCGTTCAACTAAAGATCTGGATAAAGCGCTTAGAAAACCACCTTTATGGAACAAATAGGCTTACGTTATGGGGGGGGAGGGGAGGGAAAGGACACAACAAAATATTGGGTCATTTGACCTCAATGGGCAGTTTTACTTGAGTAGGATTTGTTTCCAATTCCAAGCATGATCATTTAGGAAGGATTCATGTGCTTGATTGGGGATCCTTCCTTCATGTACAGGTGAAAGAACATGCAGTGTTATCATAGTCTAGGCCATGGGAAAGCTCATGGATCTTGGCCCTTTCCATGAGCTTGAAGGTGGTGTGCAATGTGGTACTTTAGAGGTGGAGAATGTGTGGCAACTGATATCCATGAGCCCTCAAGCACCTGGACCTTGCCTAGTAACTGCACAATACTCCATTGTACGATCTAGACATCTATCTGGATTGAGAAAGATATTGCCCAGACTCATTTAAACATTATTGTATATTAAATAAGATGTTTGCGGGTTGCCTTACTTTATGTAGGAAATATTCTTCTCCAGTGCATATTATATATTTTTGTTGGTTTATTAATCACCTTCTAAACTACCGTCTCAAGGTGATGCACTCTACAGTTAATTAAAAACACTTAACAACACCAAAAGAGAATTACATTTACAGTGGTACCTCAGGTTAAGTACTTAATTCGTTCCGGAGGTCCGTTTTTAACCTGAAACTGTTCTTAACCTGAAGCACCACTTTAGCTAATGGGGCCTCCTACTGCTGCTGTGCCACTGGAGCACAATTTCTGTTCTCATCCTGAAGCAAAGTTCTTAACCTGAAGCACTATTTCTGGGTTAGCGGAGTCTGTAACCTGAAGCGTATGTAACCCGAGGTACCACTGTAAAACAAAACTAAAACCTCACAAAGGAGACACTTGGGGTGAAGTCCTACTTATCCAGCTGGGGAAACCTGTATGTCTTGGTTGAAAAAGTGTATCAGTGTACATTTACTAGTGTACCTGCATCACTTATCACTCTCTTTTCCTGTTTTTGCCCTTCCTAATCTAGCACATTTTCCGTCTTTCCCTTGTGCCTGTGTGTCTCCTCTGTTGCTTCTCTGTCTTGTCTGACCGTATTTCCTGCCTTGCAAGGATTTAGAATTCCATCCAGTCAACTTGGCTTTCCTTTCTGCTGCCGTGTATGCAAAATGGAACGATGAATGCAAGTGATTGATTAAAGAAAGAAAAAAGAGAAAGAGAAAGAAAATGCTTTAGGCCCAGGTTTGCTGCTTCCACCCCCCTTAAAAGGCCTCTTTTTTTTTTTTTTTAGCTTGGCTCCAAGAAAATTATCTCCAGTAGTTCAAGCCAGCAGAGGCCCTGCATGGGCCCAGTGTTCATAAAGCCCAGGTGTGTTATAGCTCTGCATGGCTGTCAGCCTTAGAACATGAGCCTCCCTTAGAGCAATGTACTCCCTGCCAAGTGATCGGAAAGAACCGTGGAGGGCCAGCCAGGGCAGGTGTCGGATTTCTGCCTGCAGAAAGGAATGAAGTTGTGCCGTCTGAAATCCCACAACTTGGAGAGCCACAAACCTTATCAGGATTCAGATTCTGGCTGCGATAGTTTTCCTTTATTGAACTTTCTCTCTCCCCCCCCTCCCCTTTCTTCCCCCTCTCATCTGTTTTCTTTGACACTGGTCCCAGGACCACTGCCAAATCTCAGATCCATTAGTGAGGTGCCTTGCTGACTGAAGCACAAATCAGGATGGATCCAAACGCAATTAGCAGCTGCTAGCACCTCATCTGGAAGGCATTAGCTTGGATTAGGGGCGAGGGGAGAGAAAAGAGGGAGCGCCTGGAGATGCCAAACTGAATAAATGCTAGCTTATTTCGATCATATTTTGAAACACTCTCCTTGCAGCCAGTGACGCACGTAGAGGTGGCAGTGTAAGCAGGCAGGGATGGAAACGTGTTGTGCCAAGTTGCCAGCTCCTTTTAGATGCTTTAGAACCCACACGCTCTTTTGAATGATGATTATGAAGTAAGATGGTCTGATGATGAGGCAATATGAAAGCCACAGTTGTGAAGGGCAATTTTGGAGCAGCAAATTTTAGCCCCATTTTGTCCCAATGAGCCCTAATGTCAGCAGCTCCAGCCTCCTGTGGCAAAAGGAACAAGAGAAATATCTCCAAGGCAACATGCAGGTAAACTTGACAAGTCAGGACACATTATTCTCACAGATAAAAGAGAAGGAATTGGTCCAAAGCCAATTCACATCATCACCACCACTTAAATTCCTTAAACCAAGGGAGACCCTGTATCCCTCCAGAAACTGTTGTACTCCAACTCCCATCAGCCTGACTCAGCATGGCCAGTAGGGATGAAGGGAGTTGTAGGCCCACATCAGAAGACCTACGGATTCCCCAGCCCTGATTTATAGGGTTTTTTGGGGGGTAAGAATTGGGCTTGGACCTTTTAAGCAGCACGGGACTAGCCTCCCTTGCTGTATAGAGTATTCTTAACAGGAAATACAGTGTTATTGGAAGACATTTGTAACTTCTGATTGCTTTGCAATGTATTATATTACCATACCCTCCAACATGTTGAGCCAAAACCGGGACATGCATCTTCCTTTCTGTGCTCCCATGTAAGTGACATGACCAGCATGAGATGATGGAGCCCCAAAGGGGCACTTTTTAAAAGGTCATGCTCTTAAAAATAAAGGTAAAGGGACCCCTGACCATTAGGTCCAGTTGTGACCGACTCTGGGGTTGGGGCGCTCATCTCGCTTTATTGTCTGAGGGAGCCGGCGTACAGCTTCCGGGTCATGTGGCCTACATTACTAAGCTGCTTCTGACGAACCAGAGCAGCGCACAGAAACGCCGTTTACCTTCCCGCTGGAGCAGTACCTATTTATCTACGGTACTTGCACTTTGATGTGCTTTCGAACTGCTAGGTTGGCAGGAGCAGGGACCGAGCAACGGGAGCTCACCCCGTCGCAGGGATTTGATCTGCCGACCTTCTGATTGGCAAGTCCTAGGCCCTGTGGTTTAACCCACAACGCCACCTACATCCCTGTCATGCTCTTATGGTGCCCCAAAACATGAGTTTGGGCCACTGCACAAGATGGAAAAAGCCCTGAATGCACAATATCACAACACACAAAATGGCCACTGTGCTTTTGCGGGGGGAGGGGCAGGGGAGATCTCTGTTTTTCCAAGACACTTGTGTGGTATGTATTACTTTATATGATATAAGTTGTTTATTTTAAATGCTAAAAAAGAGAGAAAACACATCACCTCCCTAAAGAAGACATAAAACTTGCAAATGTAGAATGAGTTACTATTATAGAAATACAAAGCACCTTACTGTAGTGAGGTGATTGTGACCAGGTGACCTGAGTGCTTGCTCAGTCCAAGTGCTGTTGCTGGGCAGCTTCAAGGCCCCTGATCTGTCTCTTCTTATGCTGCTTTGTCTTTAAACTGGGCTTGGACTGGATATTTCCTTCAGATAGGGGATAGTCCTCAGTAAATCAGGACCCATGGCCACCTACTGAGGAGAGAGATGCCACAGCCTGAGAGAGAGTTACACAACCTTTAATAAAACTTAACATTGGTTTAGAGAGAGCAGTACTGTGAGCGATTCCCAAAACCGGGAAGCATGTAGGGTTGTCTGGAAGAATAAACATGACGACCCTAACTTAATAAAGCGAGGCATCCCTGCCAGGGAAAAATCAGTTTTCCCATTCTGTGGTGCATATTGATTTTAAGGGGCTCGCAGCTAACCTAGGCCCAGACATTCCCAGCAGGAGATATTGCAATTAAAAAACATTGGCAGTGGGTGGCACAAGGCTAATCCAAGCTCACACCAATTTTTGCAGAAGGCAAAGCTGCGTGCCATCCAGAATTGTGAACTTTGCCAAGTCAGTGAGAACTTTGCTGTGAATACTAGTTTTGGCTCCAAGCAACACAGGAAATGTGTATGTGGACTGTCTGTGTTGGCAGTACAGTAGCAAGTTTCTTAGCTTTTCAGACATTTTTTTTATGAAAATATTTTTTTTCTCATTACTCTTGTAGGAATTGAAGCCGCTTATACAGGTAATCAGTGTCTGCATTCTCCTACAGAGGAAGATCAGTATCTTTTCTGAGTACTGCCACATGTGATCTACAAATAGGAACACTCCTGGTGGGTCTCAATAATGCTAGTACAGTGGTACCTCAGGTTACATATGCTTCAGGTTACATACGCTTCAGGTTACAGACTCCGCTAACCCAGAAATAATACCTCGGTTAAGAACTTTACCTCACAATGAGAACAGAAAGCGTGCGGCGGGGGTGGGAGGCCCCATTAGCTAAAATGGTACCTCAGGTAAAGAACAGTTTCAGGTTAAGAACGGACCTCCAGAACGAATTAAGTT